ATATATATATATATATATATATATATATATATATATATATATATATATATATATATATATATATAGTGTTGTCTCCTTTTCTTTATCTCTTTCTCTGTCTCCTTTTTTTTTTGCTTTTTGTCTCCTTTTGTGTTTTTTCTTTTTCTTGTTTCTTTCTCTGTCTCCTTTTTTGCCTCCTTTTGTCTCTTTCTCTGTCTCCTTTCTCTCTCTCTATCTCCTTTTTTCTCTGTCTCCTTTTGTCTCTCTCTCTGTCTCCCTTTGTATCTCCCTCTGTCTCCTTTTGTCTCCTTTTGTTTCTTTCTCTGTCTCCTTTTGTCTCTCTCTCTATCTCCCGTTGTCTCTATCTGTCTTTGTTTCTTTCTCTATCTCCTTTTCTCTCTCTTTCTGTCTCCTTTTGTCTCTCTCTCTGTCTCCTTTTCTCTCTCTTTCTGTCTCCTTTTGTCTCCTTTTTATTTGTCTCTTTTTCTGTCTCCTTCTGTCTCTCTCTCTATCTGTCTTTGTCTCTCTCTCTGTCTCCTTTTGTCTCTTTCTCTGTCTCTTTTTGTCTCTCTTTCTGTCTCCTTTTCTCTCACTGTCTGTCTCTCTCTGTCTCCTTTTGTCTCTCTTTCTGTCTCCTTTTGTCTCTTTCTGTCTCCTTTTGTCTCCTTTTTATTCGTCTCTTTTCTGTCTCCTTCTCCCCTCGTGATCTACTTGTTTACGCCAGCTAGCTAACGCGCTAGCCGGACAGCCACATAGCTAGCTAGCTAGCTAGCTAGCTAGATAGATAGATAGATATATAGGTAGATAGATAGATAGATAGATAGATAGATAGCTACGTAGCTAGCTAGCTACGTAGCTAGCTAGCTAGCTAGTGAGATAGATAGCTAGCCAGCTAGCTAGCTAGCCAGCTAGCTAGCTAGCTGGCTACCTGGCTAGCTAGCGAAATATCCACCTAGCTAGCTAGCAAAACAAGTCCCTAGCTAGCTAGTTAGCTAGCTACCTAAACAAGTAGCTAGCTAGCCAGCCAGCTAGCTAGCTAGCTAGCTATCTAGCTAGCTATCGAGCTAGCTAGCTAGCTATCTAGCTAGCTAGCTAGCTAAATATATGTGTCGGCTTATATTTGTGTAAATATGCATTTTATTGAAATAAGTAAACAGTGAATAAATAATTTATAAATTAATAAATAATAAATAATAAATAAATAAAAAATAAATAAATAAATAAATAAACAAATAAATAAATAAATATATAAAGAAATAAAGAAATAAATAAATAAATAAATAAATAAATATATATATATATATATATATATA